ATTAACGAAGCACTGTCACCAGCCAAAGGGTCCTGGTGTCCAGAAGGAACATCCATTATACAGTGGAAAATAAAAAAAAAAAAACTAAATTAAAAGAACAAAAATTATCCCTTAATAGCATAGTCGAGCGGTTTTTGGCAACTAGTTTTTATACTATTCCAGTCCTAAGGGAATAGAAACACTGAGTCTTCTCAAATGCTCAGAATATCTCACTGGTTTTGGAAAGGGGAGAAGAGATTAATAATAAGTAATAAAACATTAATTAATGTATATTTTTAATAAGTACAAAATTTGACTAATAGTCTCAAGAATAAATGAATCAAATTATATTTAGGGAATAATGCACTACTTGATAATATATCTAAACTTTAAATTTATGACAACTAAACATTTTATTGAATAATATTAACACTGAAAACTCTAGCTATATAATATTGTAAAATACATAATAATATATAAGATAAATATAATACGCGGGACAAAAATATAAAATTGGCATTTATATGTAAATAAGATATTTACTCATTGTTCACGAATCGCTGCACAAAACTTTAATTTACACATTACTTTGTTTCGGGACTTATAGTCACGAAAACGAGAATTCATGTCTTCGGAGAGAGTTTGGACCTTAGTCGTCACTCGAGTCTTTTTCTTTCTTTCTAGTCTCTTTATATAAACCCAAAATTTACGTGATACTTGCAGTTAGAATGCTCACATTCTACCTTGAATTCCCTAGTTCAATGTAAGCCATTGACTTGATTATTTGTTTTATTTCCATACATGTGTTTCCTTTTGAATTTTTAATTTAAAACAGAAAAATTACTTTTTTAGAATTTTTGGTAAATTCTTTATATTTTCCAATAACAATAATTAATATATTTTTCCTAAGTACCTTAACTAATTAGTTTATCTTGTAATGATACCATCCTGTTAAAGGCAGACCTACTATAAGATTCTATGAGTACTTAGAGTTGTATTTTCAATGGCTTCCTATAATAATTTCAAAACAAAATCAATGCCTAAATAAAAAAAAAATAAATAATACTGTTCTAAATTCTTCACTCTATTCCTTGCCTGTTACTGTTAACTCCTATATCCTGATTTCCTACTCTACCTCCTCCGAATATTCTCTTTTATTTATAACTACCTCGTTCTCCTAGCCGGTTTCCTCAACTGCTATTTTATCTGATCTTTATACTTTTTTTACTACCTCTAAATCTCCTGCTTTTTATTAAAATCAAACTTTTTTTACCTTTCTATTTCAATAATTAACTTTGTTTCAGCGTCTCAAGCTATAAAATCTTTCTTAAATTAAATTTCTACTGACATCTTTTAAAAAATGTCAATCTGATAATTCAGGAATGTTCTGATGACAATTCCAAACAAATATTTTCACGTCAACGGACAATAAGAACGAATTTCTCAACTGGTATAGACATTTCTGTCACTACACTACACTGATTTGTTCTGCATACACCTTTTAAAAAAAATACTTAACTCACTCTTTATTATCTAAACAATTTAATTTTTTAAATCTAATAATTTCCATATTACTCTTTTACTCACTACATTTTTCACATTTATCTATTTATTAATTTATTATTTCTTATTCCATATCCTCGCCATTTTTAAATTCTAAAATTCCGTCCCCCTTTTAAAATCTTATATCTTTTCTTTTACTTTTGTCGTCACTTTCTCCTTCTCAGTCAACCTTCCCTTTTACATTATTTTCAAAAATTCATCTAATTCACCTAATATAATTTTATTTTCACTTTGACTTTATTCCCTTTTCTTTTTTATTTACCACTTGACTTTTCACTTTATATTCCTTATGTATCTGTTTTACTTGTATTTTATTCTTTTTTTCGCAAACATTTCCCATTTTTTCTTTTATCCTGTGTCTCTTTTTTATGTTATTTTTATTTTTCGCAATAACATTACTTCTTCTCTTCTTGAACTCATATATTTTATTTTTTCCTTTATTCTGTTTTCTATTTTTCTCTTTAATTTCCTATCTCAATTTTTCTTTATACTCTTCAATTTTTTTTTTCTACTAGCTATTTTTGTACTTACTTTTTCTTTAGCATTATTTCACTATTTTTCTTCAATAACTCCTTCTTTAAATACTCCTATTTTTATCTTCTTATCCCTTTTTCTTTTATTAACTTTCTTTTTTAATGTTGTAAGTCTCTTTCTCTACATTATTTCCATTTTAATCTTTATATCTTTTTCTTGTATATCCATTTCTTTTTCATTTATTTTCACACTTTTATTTTCCTTTTCTTTAGCTTCTTCTGATTTATATTTGTTTTCTTTTTTTTTCTGTGATTCTTCATCTTGATTTACTTTTTGTCTTATTTTTCTTTATCTTCTCTGAATTATTTTGGACATTTTTTATTTTCTTTTAATCTATCTTATGCTACTTCTTCATATTTTGCGTCAATTAACATTTGCAATATATCTTCTATTGTTATTCCTTTTATTATTTCTCTTTCTCGTTTTAATTTCCATTTCTACTAATTTTTTATTTATTTCTTTACAATCTTTATTAAGTTTCTGTTCATCCACTCTAGACCAATCAATTTTATTCTCTTCTACTTTTTCCTGAATTTCTACGCGAATCTGCATATTTTCCTTTGATTTGTCTGTTCAATCTTCTATCACTTCTTAATTTCTTATATTCACTAAATTTTTATCAACTACCTAAACACATATCCCCCACTTTTTTTAAAATACCTCTTTTATACAACAAACACACAAGGATTAGTTTATTACAATTAACAGAAAAATTATCTTTCTATTCCTTGCTGCTGTCCTGTTTCCGCCACTACCACTGCTGCCAAAGCTTCACGCTCCACGTCGGGCCCCAATTTGTAAAAATGCCTCCCTGTAAAAGGTACACCCATTACAATACTCTATGAGCACTTAGGTTTGTAGCTTCAATGGCTTCCTACAAGATTTAAAAATAAAATGTATGCCTAAATGAAAATTTTAAATGGAAAATAATTAAAAAAAATCTTTCACTTTGCTTCTTTCTATTTTTTCTCCTAGTCCAAATATCTCTGACTCATGTCCTTCTATAAGTCCTGGTTTTCTATCTTTTGTTGTAACTCTTGCCGTAACTCCTTCTTTGTCTATAACTCCTGCTCTCCTACCTGGTCTCCTCTAACTACTCTTGCCTTGCCTTTCAATTTCTTTTTCGATTACAAAAACTATCACTTATGTCAAAATGAAAAAAAAGTTAGTATCTTTAATATGCGTGGCTTGAAAATGATAAAAGTGGGTTGGTACCACTGAACTTTCGACAATTTTTCACGAAATTCATTTCAATTTCTCAAGTTGGCAATTTTCTTGACAACTTCATTGTTAAATGTCAATTGTCACTCAGTTCTTTTTTTGGAAACTGTCAAAATGGCCACGTTCTCAAAAATATCGTGTACTTACTACTAATTTTTGTGCCCCAGCTTACCTCCGTCTCACGGTAGCAACTTGAAAAATCTGGCTGTCTTTATGTTGAAGACCAGCAGTTTCTCTGCCTTTGAATGGTTGGGATTGTTCAGTTTTACTTGTTGGGATGAACCCCCACGTGATTTCTTAAAATTTAACCACATTTTCGTTTTGGTTCTTTTATTTACTATTATCCAAGCTGCAAGCTATGGTGGAGACTGAGGACCGGTTTGTTGCTGTCCTTTTTAATTTGGTTCAATTTTCATGTTTCTTCTATAGTTTTTGACGAGTAAGTGTTCAAGTTTTTTATTCATTGTTTAGTAATGTTACGAGTTGATTATATTGTTTCAGCTCCATTTTTTCTCTCTTTTGTAGAGTCTCTGATAATGGTCTAATAGGCTGAAAGTGCTTAGACTAATTTTTACAGAGTTTTATTAATAAAACTCAATTTACAAACTTTAAATACTCTCGATTCATTTCTTATTACCCAGTGTGTACACACCACTCAACCTCTTCTAAAATATAATTACTTTAGAAGGTTTATGAATCTTGATTTTTTTAATGGTTTTATTATACGTTTTCTGTTTTTCTTTTCTACATGTTTATTTTTAATTATTATATTATTCAAAAAATTTGATCCTTATCTTAATAACTAACCCATCCGAATCCTTGGATTTACTTTTACACGTGTTTATTTTTATTTATTATTTCATTCAAAAAAATTCATCCTCATCTTAATAATTAATCCATCTGAATCCTTGGATTTTTTCCTTTTATCATCTCACCCTTCTTGATCCTTTAATATATTGTTGGCAAAAATGAATATTCATATTATTCATGCTTATTAGAGCCATTCAGGTTATTTGTCGTACGCCTATGAAATTTAACCTCAAAAGCGAATTATACAAAAGCTTCGTTGACTAATCTCCATGAGCCTCCCCTCATGGAGCGGAAGATTCGCGAAACACATTGTGATACCGAGAAATAACCGAAATACTTCCGGTAAGTGTCAACTTCTGGGTTGTATACGGATCTTAATCTCGATACATCCTTTTTTTAGGTTGAAACTTGCCGGATGAGATAAATAAGTTAAGATGTTGTTGTTAGGGAAAATTTTGCATTTTCATTTATGGAAAAATAAAGTATGGAAATAGAAAGTAACTGCGATTCTGCTAAAGTCTATTTTTTAAATGTTTTCATTCAATGTTTCATTTTGGGAGTTATTCTTATTTCTAATGAATTAATATTAATTGTCATAAGAGAATTAAACCTTAGTTTTTGAAAATTTATAATAATTTTCAAAAAATAAGATTAAATCTCTGAATAACCATTAATTGAATAAATTATAAATTTGATGTCGTAACATTATTTTATTTTGAGTGAAAATTATTGAAAGGATACTGGGTAATGTGTCTTGCGCTTGAACTATATTATGGTCCAGATCATCATCTTTCAATTTGTAGCGATTGCTTTCGATTTTATCTGACGTGTTGCAGATTGAATTGAACAAGCAATTGTAGCAACTCAATGAACAAAATTTCAAATATTTTGGATCAGCTTTGCTCCAGATGAACATTTGTAGTTCCTTTGAAAGTCTTCACCCTATCTGGGAACATGTAGTTTTTAATGTTTTCACCAGTGACTGTTAGAATTATTATTTTATTTACATTTGACGGCAATAGACTCATAAATATTTCAAATGACGAAATATCTTGATCTATCAAAATGAAAGAAGCAGCAGTACGTTTGACACAGCCTCCTATACCGTCGGGTGCTCCTTTGCCGTGGCCGGCTTCTGGATAATTCCATATAATGTATTTTAAAGTTGTAGGTAAATATTTTTGAACATTACACCTAATGATATAAAACATCTTGCAATTCCTGTGTTGCGTGGACGGACTATCACTAATAAAGTGAATAACAGATAAATCAGGTATTTTTTCAGAAATAATCTTGAACACTGATTTCAAGTGTTTTAATATGGCAGGAGGGTCATGACTTAGACATGGAGACACAGTACAGATTGATTGTGTTAATAAATCTTCACCTATTCTGTAATAGCACTAAAAGGCATTGATTGCACTTCAGCAGGATAATTTTCCGAAAAATCTATATGCACTGTTACCTCCCTTTCATTTAAATTACATTTTAAGTCGTCTAATGTCTTGTATTGGTAGTTTATATTATTAATGTGCTTCATAATTTTGTTACTGTATCTTTCTTGCCTGGACAGAGTGTAGAGGACTGCTCTTTTTCCAAAAAACATTTAATATCGTTTCTGATTTTGTCATGGAACTCTTTAGTTTGTCGTTTCTTTCTAGATTTTTTAATATTACTTCTTATAAAATACTTTACCAGATATATTGGATGATATTAATTTAAAAATTCGATAGAACTTATGGTATTTACATGATGGTTGTCCAGCTCACTTTTAATTAAACCGATTTTAGAGCGCTATCTTCAAAGAGCTCTAGCTCCCTTAGAAACCATTTTCGGATTAAGGTAATTTAAGCTAAATCGTTATAAAATCAGCTCTAGATTTCAAGATTTCATCCTTTAAAGAGCGTTCCTGAACACCCTGTATAATTTTTTGTATATTATCTGTTTTAAGAACTTAGATGGGGCATACATAATGGAGATGGGTCTATAGTTTTCTAAGAATTATAAACTGGAGTTCTAATAGCAGTTTTACACTTTTAAGAAAATACTCTAATTTAAAAAAGGGATCTATCAAATAAATTAAAGAAAATAAAGAAATCAGTACAGGTACCAAAAATACCAGTCAAAATAGTTAATTATTATTTTTATCAATTCTTACAGAAGTATTCATCCGATCAAATAGAGTTGTAACATAAAAAACTTTTGGTTTTGAATTTTATAGATACAAATACTCAAAATTAAACTTCAATAGAGTGATATCTTTAATTCCACATATTCGCCATTAGATGGCAGATGTAACGATTTAGCACTGAGACCAATTTGCTTTTTAGTGTTCTCTAATTAGTGTGACTTTTGGTTATTTACCTTTTCAAGTTATAAATCTATTTTATAGTAGTTGCGATATAATATTACTAATAATATTACCAGTAAGGCTAAATAAAGAGAGTCACAGTGCAGTACCTTGTATATTTTTTACAAGATTTTAAGAAAAATTATAAAAACACCGTTTTTCATAAATTTTGCCATTTCATTCAAAGGGATTATTACTTAGAGCCTAAATATCAATATATTATTGTCCAAATTAGATAGTTTGAATTATTTTGGGTACATAGCAAATGTTATTCTGTTCATATTGACTGTAAATAAGTAAAATGCAAAATAAATACTTACGAGGTCCTGCACTGTAACCCTCGATATTTTGTTTAACAAGTTTAAATACTAGGTTATTATAATTACAGTTCTAAAATAATTAAAAGTGATAGTTTTCCCAAAATTCTGTAGCGTCTGAAAGTTGTGCTCAACATTCTTTCTTCATCATAAAAGAAATGACAAGTATACTCTATAAAAAGAGTTAATGATAAAAGTTCCAAAACCTTCATTTCTAATTCAAGAAGTTTTCCAGTCAGCGTCATTTAAGTAGTAGCTTGGCTTTCCGTCCAGCAAACATTTTAATTTCCCAACAAATCTTGCATGCGAAGCTTGACTAGTTTCACGACAATTCTTAATCAGCGCCAATTGCTAGAGTAAAGTTCCACAAAAATAAAGTTGCCGAGTAACAGACCTTGATAGTATTTTTATTTTGTTCGGATTTATTTACTTTTACTTAATTTATTTAATTTCTTCTTGGATTTCTGGAATTAAATTACTTATTTTGCATTTCTTTGTCAGTGTTAGTAAAAGCGACGGAGGTTTAAAGTAAATTTAAAAAAAAAATTTCGCATAATATTAAGTTGTACTCATAAATTAAAAAAACTGTTTATTTATTTATTCTGTACAACATTTAATATTTAACAGTTAAAAACTAATTAAAGTATATTTCAAAAATAACGTAGAGTAAAGTCAGAAGATTAATCTCAAAATATACAGGGTGTTTCATTAGTGCGTAATTATTCAATATTTTAATTTATGTTATAGACACGCAAACAAGTTTAAAATAAAAGTTATATGATTTTAAAAAACACGTACCTTAAAATTATATCTGGATGTTCAGGGCGTTGCGTTTTTGCCTGGCAAATAAAAATTTAAATTTTTTAAATTGAACACCCTGTATTTTATTTTAGGTTTGGAATGGTTTGATAATGCTGTATTTTTGTAAAATATTACAAGGTTGCCAATCAATTAATTTTTGATATAAAATTAGAGAACGATGAAGATCCAAAAATATATTATCATAATTTCGGTAGGTTTACATTGATTTCAAAATTGTTTGATATAAAGACTAAAAAGATGTTAAGCTTAAGAATAGTGGTTATAGAACTGGTTTATTTTGTACTAAGTGTTTTGAAACATTTCTTAAATATGGCTAATTTTAAGTTCAATTTTCTCAATTTTTCAAATGCAACACCCTGTATATTATTTTAGTAAAAATTTTTCTATGAATTTACCTACTCACTGATACCATACACCATACATATACAGGATGTATCATCAGTGCGTAATTGATCTATAGCTGTTTTCTTATTGGAAATACTAAGACAAAAAAACAATAAAAAAGTATGTATGACCATATTTAACAATTATTTCTAAATATACAGGCTGGATCCTAAATAAAGGGCTTACCAAACCTAGATATTTTTAAAGCAAAATACCCTGCAGGTACTCAACTAATAAAAAATTACTTGGAAGCTTCGAGCTTGGATCTTACAGAAGCTACGTAACTTGGAGTTTGGAGAAGCTAGGTAACTTGGAGCTTAGAGCTACGTTGAAAATTACTTGAAAACTTGGAGCTTTTTTGGAGAAGCTACGTAACCTGGAGCTTAGAATTTGAAGCTTGGAGTTTGAAGTTTAGAGCTTAGATTTGGAGCCACTACAGGTTTAGAAATAAAAAGAACCTCAGTAACAGGGCAGCTTTAAATGAGGAGGTTTTTTTTAGAAGTTTGACCACAAAAGGGTGGAGCGCTGGTTTATGTACAATACAAGATGAGGAATTTTTTTAGAGATTTCACCAAACAAATTAGGTTTTTGCTCGAGGATCTTCGAGGACCTTTGACGACCTTTGAGGACCTTTGAGGACCTGTGGAGACCTTTAGGGTCCTTTTAGGACCTTTGAGGACTTTTAAGGACCTTTAATGATCTTTGAGGACCTTTGAGAACCTTTGAGGACTTTTGAGGACCTTATCGCGGCGCCCCACTTGGAAAATTAAGGGTTTTGCTGTTTTGACTACATAATAAAAAAAAATATTCAGCCAGATAATAATTATGCCCCAACACCTAAAAGAATGTCATACTTTTGGCGATGTTCATGACCTATTTTAGCTATTAGAAAATATTTTTGCTCTATAAAGCTGTAGAAACAAATCTAATCATTTTAATTCTCAAATACTTAAATTGCAAACGACTTAGTAAGGTTATGTTATATTTTATGTCATACAGTGCAGCAATTTGAAACTATTATACAGGGTGTTTCATAATATATGCGCAGGACTTCAGGACCCTCTAAAATGCACCATTTTCAAGATACAGGGTGTTGAAATTGAAAAAAAAAAATCTACGCCACTGGAAAAAGTACGGTGTTGAGACGCCCATTTAAACCGCCAATGTTTTCTACACAAAAAAGGTACTCTTGGTCATACGCTCTAAAGTCGACGGTTTTCGAGAAAGATCAAGTTTTAATGTTGAAATACATGCTCATACATACTTGATGAAACAAAATTTGATTTTTATCGAAAACCGTCGACTTTAGAGCGTATGACCAAGAGTGCATTTTAGAGGGTAAGTTAATAGAAACGTTTTTTCATATTTTTGGACGAGCTATCACGTCCTGAAGTCCTGCGCATATATTATGAAACACCCCGTATAACAAACAATGATGAATTCATTTTGTAGGAATGACTAATGGAGCTAAATTATTGTATCACAGTTGCTTTTATTACAATAATATTTTATAAATATGGTTCTGTCTCAAAATAACTTCCTAATACCTTGGAATAGCCGCCATATTTAATAAATATCTAAGACAGTTTTAATGCTAAATCTACTGTCGATTGTACTAGTTTAAAAGACAAAACCACTGTTAATTAAAGATTTTTTATCATTAATAATCAGTCTTGCCGTTTGGGTGGAAATTGCCCCTTTGTGTGGAAATTTTGACTTTAGTGAGAATTTTAGGTGGATATAATATTTTTGGGTAATTTTTGGGGAATTTGTTACCATAAGGCTTCTATAATGACTTTAGGGCTAATGAATCTTTTTAATAAACAGATAATATTTTTATATTACATTAGGTCAGTGATGTGATAAATCAAGACCTGACACATGAAATTATGTAATGTTTTATGTTTTGACAGTAATAATGACATGTTGAGCAACCGTTTTACTTCTGAAAACAATTACTTCTTTAGCTAATACCGCAACAGGCATTGCATTATATCAAAAGAAAAAGAGAAGAGAATAAAAATAATGTTCAACACTATAGTCTTGATATTATTCCGCCTTGTTCTATTAGGTACCACAGTAAGGTTTGATTTTACTTCCTAAGTGCAGAAGGCGTTACCATTTTTTACTCATTGCTTGACTACCTACACTTTCTTAACCAGCTTTAATATATAAGAGTAAAAGTGTAACACATCAAGCAGACAATTAGAGACTAAAGTCAAGATTGTTCATTTCTTGCTGATGAGTCCTAATAAGGATGAAACCGATTTTCGATTTTTCGATTTTTCGATTTTTTAATTTTTCGATTTTTCGATTTTTCGATTTTTCGATTTTTCGATTTTTCGATTTTTCGATTTTTCGATTTTTCGATT